TGCTACTAGCGCTCAAATGCGACCCCAGCCTTAATGGCAATGCCTTCAGATCTTTTACCCACTCTGGGTAACCAACCACAGACTTTCAAGGTCTCCAGGAGATCTCCCCAGAATGACTCCCATTAATCCGTACACCCACTCACAGACAACTTTTCTTCCTTCTCCTATGCGGTGACTAGCCAGCAGCTCCTAGTACCCCGCAAAGTCTGTTCCATGTGTCGGGCCGCAGTACGTCGAAAAAAGACATCAGTAAAATGCATCTCCTCCTTTGGCTGGTGCCATTTTCTGACGTTCTTTGGCGTGAGCATCACCCGTGAGTGGAATGATGAGTACATCGTCTCATGCTGTAGGAGTCTGCCACAATTGCAGCGATCCAGGAAACGAAGTTGACAGCGAGAGAGGCTATGTCATGGGCTTAGCGTTCATCTTACATAATATCATGCAGTACAGTTTCATCGATGTTGACATCGACCACAAAGATACTACCCTAGAATGTCAGGGAATAGCTATCCGGTCAGGCGATGTTGGGCTTGAAACAGTTAATATATACTTTTCTCCTATTAGGCATTTGATTTTGAGCTACTTTAACCCGCATCATGATCTATGGTATTCTATTCTGTCAAATAACTATAGAAAATTGGAGCTTGCAGATCCGAAAGATGATTCGACATTCTGTGAATTCGGAGAATGTTTTCTCCTTAAGATAGTCATGACCGCTGTCGCCCACTTCATCTCTTCATGCCGAATTGCGTAGATGCGCCTTAGTTTTTCGACAGAAGAGGCCATTCCGGCATCGCAACTGTGACCCCGGTAGTTTCCTTATCAGGGATCTCAGCCAGGAGAGTAAGGGAATATAAGAGAGTTATAAGCGAAAAAAAGTGAGTAGAGCACTGAAACCTTTCCTCTAGGGTGACCAAGCTCTGGGCTACAGTCAAAACATTGTCAAGTCCGAAGAGAGGCGATGACCGAGTGAAAACATCATTCGGTGACCGCGCCTCGTCGGACAACCCGAAGAGATGCGCGAGCTTTTTTAGGCAACTTTTTACACTGCATCCTTTGGTTGACGAAATGAACGACAAGTAGCTCGCCGCTTGTGGAAGCTACGGAACAATTGCGACATGGTTAATTTCTCCAGGGAAGAGGTTCAGGGGGTAATTAGGAAGGCGTACACCTTCAAAATAAAACCTCTGTGACCGGTGGGAGCAGACTTTCTCATCAAGGTCATTAATCTGTCTTTGACCACCAAAAAAGAACCCATTAACTCAAGTCGGAAAACCAGCCAACAAAGGAGAGTCACATCAGCAGTTATCTATCCGCTCCCCAGTAGCGAAGACAGGCCTTACTGGATTTCACAAAGCGCACAATACAACAGCAGCACTTAATCTCAAAAGTATTTGATTTTTCTAAGGCTTTTGACGCCGTCAATCATTCGGTGCTACTATCGGACATTGAGGAATCCTAATTATCCCTGGGGTTCAAGAGGTGGAACATGGGCTACCTGAGTGGTCGTCAATCTTCAGTAGAACTTCAGGGTCAGACATCAAAACTCAGCAAAATTAAAGAAGGAGCTCCGCAGGGTGGTGTCCTCACCCCATTACTGTTCAAGTTTTATATTTCGAAACTCCGTCCTCGACCAGAAGATATTTCCACCAGAAGAGATATCCGACCAAGATGTTGATGATCTTTGTTCACAAGTAAAAGGCTATTTCGTCTCCCATCCCACTTCTATACTGCACGATACTGCACGACAACTTAGAATACAACTGACCATATTCTTTCACGAGCCGACCAAAAACAACCCAAAGTTACTCGGAGTCACATTTAACAGCCCGCACTCCCTCACTCTGCATATTTGGTGTCTAAACAAACAAACCTTGCTGGTCGTTAACTATGCTGCACGGATCTGGTCACAGGTGATGAACGAGACGCAGTTGAAGAAGTTACAGACTTGCCAAAACACTACTCTTAGGACCGCGACCGGAAACCTTCTGATGTCGCCTAAATATTACTTGTACTATGTAGCATCTATGCTATGAGTAAAGGAGCTGAGCAAGCACTTCTTATTGGGATGCTACCGCAGAGAGCATCCCAACAGGCATCTTATAGAGGCTGAACCTCCTCCCAGGCACATCAGAAACGAAAAACTAGGTTTTAAGGACAATATCCAGCAACACGTTCAACAACCGCTAGACAGGACGGGGCACTGAGTCAAAATGGAGATCAGTTCTCACAAGCCTTTAAGCTACGGAAATTTTATTTTTTTAGTACATTATTCATATAGAAGTAAAAAATAATGCACTTTGAGTTATGTATATGAATGATTTTTTTAAATAAAAAAAAAAATTTTGGTGAACATGGGTTTTCAACAATTTTTATTTATTTAAAATTTAAATTTTATTTAAAATATATAAACTGCTTCTTCACCATCATTATAATCATCATCAACTTCATTATTATTGCCACTCTCCATCACCAAGGCTTCTTTCGGAAAATCTTGCACTTTTCTGTGGTAATTTTCTCCGGTATATATAACGAGGCCAGAACTGATTAACAGTCTGTTGGATATGTCTTTATTTGTTTTTTTCTGCTGCATTTGCGAGAAAAATGTTCTCTAAAATTTTAATATCGTTGTTTTGAGCTTCCTGAGCTTCTTCTGAAAATTGTCCGATTGGTCGTAGGATACTATCTCTGGTAAATGGATGAAATATTTGTGCAGTGTTGGAGGCATGTTATACCAGGGATAAAATTCAATGGTTTTATTTCGTGTTTAAAGCAGAGTCACGAAACTTATGTACGTCAATATCGTGCCCACTAGGAATAACTACGAGCATTGTGTACATCTTTATAATGAAATTTATTTCAACATTGCTACAAAAAGAAACTACGATAGCCATAGATTATAAAAATTAAACAAGATGTGCTTTACCTCGCTTAACTCACAACTATCTGCATATAAGGTCAAAACATACATATTTTAAGGCTTTCGCGCAAAAAAAGAAATACTTGGGTGGCAAACAAATGGAAACACTTTAAATTTAACAAATTTCCTGAACCATAGGTATCCATTACAATTTTTGCTAGGTTTCTCCAGTTAAAAAAATAAATAACTTCGCAACATTAAAAAAATATCGTATATCACAGTGTGGACACAAAAAGTGATGGAGGCTTGGTAACAAAAATTTACTTGTTTCGTGAAATTTCATTTTTGAATTAATCTCCAATATCGAAAAATTTTACCCCATTGTGCGGAACACAGATATTCACCAGGAGTCAGTTAACACTTTCAAATACTGCCTTATGGCACAATTTACGTCTACATATTGGAGCAGTTTAAGCTCTTACGTATCCACGATCGACATATCCAACATATGTCCTGCATGTAGTGAGTGCCAGCCTGCCTCTAAGCGTGGATAGTGAACTGCTACAATAATAACAATAACAGGGTCATCGAATAAGCAACAATTATTTGCTTCTTTTTACAGCAGATAGACAGCGCAAAATCGAAAAGTTTTAGATAGTGCTAAATAAAGCAAACAATAAAAGAACTCCTTGAGAACAATATTATTCGCCCGTTCTATTTACTCTATGCATCTCCCGTAGTACTCTTCAGAAACAGTAACAGTGAAAACCGACTCTGTATTCATTGTCGTTGTTTAAACAAAATCACCGTTCAAATATACCAACCAATTCCAGTGTTGGAGGAGCATTACACGCAGTTTGCAGGGAACACATTTTTCAAAATTTCAGACTTACACATGGGCTATCACCAAATCGAGTTAGACGAAAGTTGAAAGAAATAAAAGGATTTCGTTACAACAGATGTGCACACTCAATGCTACGACTATATTTCAAGCGGCAATGAGCAAACTCATAGCCAAAATGAAGGCAGGTGAGGTATTGGCTTGCCTGGATGATGTCATAACCCCCAGTCGTACAGTAGAAGAAGGCTTACATCAAAACATTTCAATATTTTACATGAAAACTCCTGTAACTCCTATGTGATGGAATCCACAATAGATTATTAGCAGCAATTCACAATGAAGCGATTGATATCGTTGATTGTAGTAAAACGAAATCAAGCCGTCGAAAACGCTGAACGGTAAAGATGCATGCCTCGAGAATTCAAGGAAAATAACTTAATGGTTATTAAAAATGAACCAAAAAAGAGTACAAGAATCTCGACCGGCACAAACCTAAGAGTCAGGCTGCAAGTTACATGTCGGCCTTCAGAGTTCTCTGGCGAGTGTGTGCTATTGTCTAATCATTTGTCGCCGACCCCATTATCCAAAGAGACCGGGTTGAATAACATAGGCCACCATGACACACCAAGCACATTGGGAATATTTTTCTTTCGCGGTATTGAAGAGAAAGGCAACACCTACAGAAAATGAATGATATTTGTTAGTGTAGGAATTGTATGCAATAGTTTAATCTTTTAATTAGCATTAAATTTTGTATCCATTTGCGAACAGACAACACAACAAACGCTTGAAGTGCGTGGGGAATATTAAGTTAAACCAAAGAAATAAGCAAAGAAACAAAAAATAATTTTTTGTTGCGGTAAGTACGCCTAGAAAAAATGGTATTTGTTTTTCACCTTTGCCATAATGGAAAAGTTTGGGCATGTCTCTCTTTATCCCAAGGCTCTTCTAAGTGAAAATTGCAACATTAATATTAATCAGAAAACCTCTGAGGGAGATTTAAAGAGGTCAATGGGCTCACTAGATGGTTCCCCATACATCACTCTTTACGTAATTAATTAATTAGCCTGCAATTATTTAATAAACTGTCTGCGACACCAGCTTTACTTTTATACCTTTACATTTGTAAATATTTTTGCTTTTTTTGTTATATTGGGTGTTTAATTTTTTGCTTTTAGGTTTCTATATAACTACTAATTAGGACTTAAATTTGAAATCGACGGTAGTTTATAACTTAAAAAAAAATTCCAATTAATTTTTCTAATAAAAGCCGAATTTAACTTTTTATTTTAATTATAGAAAGCTGATTTAGCTGTGGGTTCAATGACAATCACTTATGCCCGAGAAAGCGTAATCGACTTCACCAAGCCATTCATGAATTTGGGAATAAGTATCTTATTCAAGGTATTAAATATGTTGCTATAATTTTTTTGCTCACCTTCTATTTCGATTTATGGTGCATGTTTAGAAATTTTTTTTTAACGACGCACATTTTCAATTCGATAATGGAATTTAAAAATTCCATGATGGGAAAATCTTCAGTTGTACATATTGAAGAATAGAATAGAAGAAAATTGTATGTTTTTCAGTTCAAATTATCAGTTTGCTTTGAATCTTCATATTGTAATTTTTGTCTGATTTTATTTAATATAGTAATATTATGTTTGTAGGTTCCATCATCACCAGCTTCTCGTCTGTTCTCTTTTATGAATCCTTTGGCTTATGATGTGTGGCTTTATGTTTTATCAGCATATTTTTCGGTATCATTTACAATCCACATAGTGGCGAAATTTTCTCCCTTTGAGTGGCGTGATAAATACCTCTGTGACAAGAAGATTCCTACTATAACTAATCAGTTTTCATTAGCCAATAGTTTTTGGTTTACAATCGGTACACTAATGCAGCAGGGATCGGATATAAATCCGAAATCGATATCAACTCGAATTGTCAGTGCTGTATGGTGGTTCTTTACCTTAATAATTATTGCTTCGTACACAGCCAACTTGGCAGCATTTTTAACTGTTGAACGAATGATAACACCCATTGAAAATGCTGAGGACTTAGCTAGTCAAACAGAGATATCCTACGGTACGCTGGAGAGTGGTTCAACAATGACTTTTTTTCGTGATTCAATCATTGAGACATATCGAAAAATGTGGCGCAACATGGAAAATAAAAAAGCCACCGCTTTTACTACCACCTATGAGGAGGGCATAAAGCGTGTTAATCAAGGTAATTACGCGTTTTTAATGGAATCCACAATGCTTGACTATATTGTGCAGCGCGACTGTAATTTAACACAAATCGGAGGTTTATTGGACACTAAAGGTAAGCCCAATTTTTTACATAAATATGTTTTTTATGTAACTGTGTATATACCTCTGCTTAAAATAGAAACTAGGATAATTTCCGCAAGTCATGAAGTAGATCGCTGTATTGCTAAATAGGGCATATTCTGTTTCCTTAGCGCCGCGATCTGACGATAGATAATTACTATACAAAATCGATTATGTAAATAATTTATTTCGTTATGTTTTCGAATTGGGTGTTCTTTGGTATGAACCTGTGTTACCCAGTTGTTGAGTCCTCATTAAAATAATTTCCGCTATAATGGCGTATGTGGTTCATTGTCATCACTCAGTGCCTCCATCCCACATACGATGGGAGCAAAGATTGAATTATAAAGTCATCTCAAAGAAAATCTCTACTCTCATTAATTTGATTATTGTCCTTCTTTAACAAAGTGTAAAAATAGAATATTTTTTCAAGTGACAAGAGATAAAAGCTTATATCTTTAATAAAGGAAGAATTACTTCCGAATGTTGACTTCTTTGGATATTGCGCACATACCCTCTAGAAGCACTTATTATATTTTTATTTTATTTTTGTGCTTACCTAACACAGTGGTATATATATTCTTTGGCATATGTGTTGGCGATAGTTTCTGAAAGCACATATTGAACTAGAGTTTCTGCTCGATTTCGAGCACTTTTCCCATATTTTCACACGGCTTTATAGCGGTTAGTGGCCGCGGTAGACGAGTGGTTAGCATTGCGTACTGCCATTAGAAAGGCCGGAGTTCAAATACCACAACCAACATCCAAAAATTACAGAAAGTTAGTTTAAATAAAAAATTTAACTGAATTTTCCAATTGCGGTCGACCCCCTGCATTCATTGTCAACCCCTTCGAGTGTACTTTTGACACGAAAATCAAAAACTCCTCAAAAATTCATCGGCCGTTCGGAGGCAGCTTAGTATAAACTATAGGTCCCTCCATTCGTTAGAAAGACATAAACAAGCAAAACTACAAATGAGAGGAGAAGTTCGGCCGAAAATCACTTACCATAAATATTGTAGCTTCGCCAATTTTTTTTAGTAAAAAAGTTTATTGTGACAACAACAACTAATTACTATGTCAACTGCTATAGTTGTCGAGTTGTTTCAGTCGCTGCCCGCCATTGCATTAAAATGGTGCAATTGTATTAACAAATCTATGAATTACAGGTTATGGAATTGCTACACCTAAGGGTTCGCCTTGGCGGGATAAAATGTCACTGTCTATTCTAGAGTTGCAAGAAAAGGGAGATATACAAATATTGTACGACAAGTGGTGGAAAAATGCAAGCGATACTTGTATACGGAAAAGTAACAATAAACAGACAAAAGCAAACGCCCTTGGCCTTGACAACATTGGTTAGTATTATGTACATATGTACCTAAAAGTATTGCAGATATAAATACATTTCCAGTTTAAAAAAATTGAAGTGAGAATTCTTCTTGCTTAAATGAGAGGCTTCTTAAGTAACAGATTTGGAGAAAGTTGAAATGCATCATCCCAAAATAAACAAGTCCAACAACCGCTTTTTAACACGTCCTAAACGATTGCTTGTCAACTTTTTTCGTGCAAATGAAAACTGTTTACTAAAACTTTAAGTTAATGAATGAAATGCAAATAAGAAAATAATATATAATAATAAGTAAAGTCTATAACTGCGAATTCTCTTACCTGCATCTAACCGTACCAGTTATTATTAATTTTTTTAAGTGTTTTGTGTATTTGAGGAGCAGAATTTGAAAGTATTCTAATCAAGTTTGGCTTTCGTTTAGAAAGAACTTTCGAATCATCTACACTATAAAGATTGATTTAAATAATAATAATCGGCCGCGGAAGCCCATGATCCGAGGTCTGGTCCGACCAACATCCAAAACTTTTAAAAAGTTAATTATCTGCGGTCGCACCTGGGCAGAAAATGTCAACTCCTCCGAGTGTATTTATGACATGAAATAAAAATCTCCTCATAAAAAACCATTAGCCGTTAGTATGAACTGTAGGTCGTCCATTTGTTGGAAAAACATCAAGAGACATACCGCAAATTGGAGGAAGAATTCGGCCGAGAATTGCTTTAGCGATTAGATAGAAATATCAATATTAGGGCATTTGCAATACTTTCGGTTTTCTTCAGCCTGTTCTCAGAGTCTCATCTGTCAGCAAGTCTTATATGAATAATCAATGGGATCAGTAAGTAGTTGTTCTATGTATATTTCAGCCCCATGCTTAACTGTAACGAAATTTTAGCGAACGCAACTATCCCAGAAATCATGTTGCCTCCACTTCGCACATATATTATTTAGATTATTTAAGAAATTATTGTACTTTGCTGCTTTTTTAACATACTCTGTTTCTCCATTACAGGTGGAGTTTTTGTTGTACTGTTAGTGGGGATATGTTTAGCAGTCTGCGTAGCAATATTTGAATTTTGGTATCATTATCGCACTAGAAATAGTAGAATCGATCTCCTGGAATATCCCATCAGCAAAACACTGGAAGGTGACCAATCTGTTGAACTGGAATTGATCCAAATGGATGAGAGATTACTACCTTGCAAACATGTTACTGCTTACTGTTGTTCAGAAAAGCCAGCCCAACTTTCGCTCTGTGGCGAAATGATGGACGAGTTTCGTTATGCTTTACGATGTATGGACTCGCATAAGCGGCCAGCATTCAAACGTCGTTGTCCAGCATGTACTTTATTTAAAGATGTTAAAGATTTTGTTAATATCGAAAACAGAACAATAATCGATGTACACTTCAATCTACCTGGTGGGTGTGAAACGACCGAATCAAACGGATCTGTTATGTAATATATATATATAAGGGATGAAAAATTTTAAGCTTCAGAAAAAAACAGTTATTTAAACCTTTGCAATTCCAAATGGTGAAATATTCAAAACTTCTAATGTACTTAATTATTTTGTTATTAATTTTAATCTGAATTTTTAACTGGCGAAAAAAAATTACCATTTAAATAAACGTTTTCAACTGATGTTGTAAAAAGATATGGGCAAGTAAAATAAGTATTTATTTTTTTTTAACAACACATAGTTTTATCTGTTCCAACATAGTTTCTTAAAATATGTGTCGGGCTATTTGATTTCAGAAAGCAGTCCATAAGCTCAATTGGATCATTTGCATCACGTGCATAGCAGGTCACAAAATTAAAAAAAATCATACTTAAAAGTCCTATTCATATCATTAACTCAAGCGAAAGGTAATTTTCATTACAATAAAAAAATTTTGTGCACTTCACTGAACAATTAGAGCCTTGCCAAAAGAAACAATTAATTAATTTATATTTGCATGACCAAATCAGAAACATAGAATGAAATTTCCAGATCTGTCAAAGGTGGCATAAGAAAGGATAGAAGAAGTCATGTACAGCTCATTACACAGAACTGAAGTGAGACTTCAATAGCAATCTAGGTGAGAGCGAATGAGAAAAAGTTTTAATTCATTGACAATTCTAAATTATAATGAGAGATGAACATATGACGAAATAATTATATCGTATATATAATATTGAACTTTCGCTATAAAATTATTATAGTAACTAAAATAATATATATGTATTCAGACTCGATGTTGTCTAGGTTGCACGAAATTAGTGCATCTATCGTGGTTTCCAATCTCGTTGTTGAGGTATTGTGATGGCTATGATTTCGCAAATTGAATGTTTCTTGAAGAAAATTAACCAATGGTTGTGAATCATGAAATGGAAAGTTTGTGTTGAAATCACCGCTAAGAGTCATATGTAATTTATCTTCGTATTTGCCATGAAGGTAAGCAACTCCTCGACTGTGCACCAGCAGCGAATGGTGGATGAAATATACATATAATACCATCAATATTTTTATTTTGAGAAATATAAATGGCTGCGACAATCATAATTTTTTGTCTACTGGACCTTTTACACTCAGAGAAACATACGTCACCATTTGGCTTTACTGCCCATGTATATGAAGTGGATTCATTGTCAGTCAAACTAAGTCAGTGTAACTAAGTTCACTGTATCATTTTGGTTATGACGAATTGAGGTCGTCCTCCCGTGGGGAATGTCAACCACTAAAAGTGCACTTCTGACATGAAAATCAAAAGCTCCTCATAAAAACCATCGGCGCTCGGAGGCGGCTTAGTATAAACTGTAGGTCCCTCCATAAGTTGGAAAGACACCAAGAAGCAAAATCAACAATTGAGCAAAGAGTTTGGCCAAAAATCGTTTCAGCGGTTACAACGCACCAATTATATTATATATCTAGACATAAATTATGCTCAAAAAAAAACGGATTGGTGATGATTTTATGTAAAAATCGAAAAAAAAAAAATATAAAAATTGTAACATTGGGGAAAGTAAAACGCGTAAGTTCTTGGTGAGAGTATCAAAAGGAAGGAAGGAAATTCATTATTGTATGCATTATTAGTGCGGTTTTCTAAGAGAGGGCTCTACTAGTGATATTTAGCGTCATGCTCATCTATGGCTATACTCATTTCAAAGGTACTGTCAATTCGCGTCGTTTTCAATAGATGTCATTTAGTTTTAGCGTAAACAACAATTTGTTTCATTCATTTGAAAATGTTGAAAATCGTACCAGATAAAGTGTTTTGAGGGGTGTTCTTCTTCATTACTATAACATGAAGAAAAGTGCTACCGAAGGCCATCGTATTTTACTGGGCGTTTATGGTAGCCATGCTTTAGCCGAACGAATATGCCAAAAGTGGTTTGCACGGTTTAAAAGTGGCAATTCTGGCTTAGACGACAGACAGCCAAAAAAATTTCAAGACGAAGAATTTGAAACATTGCTTGACGAAGATGCATGCTAGACGCAAGAAGAACTTGCGAAAGTATTAGGAGCTGAACAAGCAACCGTTTCCAGACGACTGAAATCAGTTTTTCACAATGAAGTCTTAATTTTCCAAAAAAAAAAACCTCACGAATTAATGCATACAGCCAATAATACAAAACTTAGCTCCTATTCATAACGACATCTGTTAATAATAAGTACGTGAAGTATATAGGGTGTTTCATAAGATTGAAATATACAAGTTTCTTCTCAACACCTTCCCTAAATGGAGTATTTAAGTTCATTAAAACAATTCAGTAGATTAAGAGATAATAATTCGTTACACAGTTCAATAAAAAGAATTAAAAAAAAAAACAATACAATTCAGGTATGAGTAAGAAAATAATATTTTACAATAATAATATGGGGATAAATTACTTTAATCCAAATACATTTGATAGTTGTTTTGTTTTTGGGGCAGATAATGCTTTTATAAAAATCTTGGCTATCATTTTGTCGGTGCCAATATGACGTACAATAACCTAATTTAGCCATCCTCAATTTTTTCTTTGATGAATTTTGATTTGATATCTACATACTTTGTTCTGCTTGAATATGTTGAAGTGTACAGCGTTTTTATTATCGCTTAATAGATCATTGATTTAGAAGCTTTGGGCACGAGCTCTTTTTCAAATAGCTTCAGCCAGATTGATTATTGTGTTGCAGCCACCATCCACGTAAGTTCCACCTCAGCGGATGAAAGTGCGTTACTTTTTGCTAAGAAAATGCAGCATTCTGCAAAGAAAAAAACAGTTGCTGAATTAGGATCACTTACATCATTTCCCCAGTCAGCGTCGCAAAAACCAATGATGTCGGCACAGCTTCTGTTATAGACTCAGCCCTTGTCAATAGTTCACTTGAAATAGCGTATAACCCGTTTTACTGCAGTTCACTGGATTCGTGCTGTATCGGCTTAGCAAGTTGACAGCAAAACATATATCAGGTCGTGTGACCTGAGCGGCAAATAGCAGGCATCCAATTGCTCGCTTACCTGGGGAACGGTGGCCATTTCATTATTGTCGTTATTATTAGTTGAGGTCATCTTCTCGGGCAGCTTTTGGTCCACGTACAGCATTCCTCTATTCCGAGACATCAAGTTATATCGCCAATGTAGCTAAATTGGTCGATCCTCAAAATCTCCGTCACCATTTACCTTTCTCCTAAAAACCAATTTGGAATGAGATGGCTTTCTTTCCCAAGGGAGGGCTGATAGTTCTCGAGTCCCGTTGACATAATGACATTCAAATTTTTAACACATTGCAAATTGCTAAAGGTTACGTTCTTAACTTGCTATTGCAATAGTGTTTGGATCTGAGGATATATATTCAGTTGTGCAGAGACTATAATTTGGTCGTAGCTTATTCTCCAATCTTTGGGAGCGACGAACTCCTTCATGTTCCAAGTCTGTTATTTCTGTAGTTGCATCACTGTTGTCCTCTCATTTCGTCCTCACATTTAGATTCATCAGCATGTGAGTGGCTGTTACCTGGAGTAGCATCAGTGCCGTCTGCTGTTAGCAATTCGTCAACACATTCCGTCCCTGTATTGGCAACCGAAGTTGGCTCAGGCAACCATAAATGAAATATGCTTAGCTTTGCATCTATAGCTGGAGAACTTTGTTTAATATGATTTTTAATAAAAATCACAGCTGATAATATTTTTCGCTACAGGGTAGGCTGTATATTATCTTTGATTAAGTGCAGTAGCCTGCGAGAATACATTCTCGAGATTTAAATTTTAATTAACTGCGCTTTTCTTTGGCTACGTGAACCATGGCTTTACAACCAAAAATTTTGAAGTATTTCAAGCTTAGACTTTTGCTAGACCATAACTCTTTCGGACTCATATTGTTATATTTGCATGATGTATGATTTAGTAGATATGCCGCAGTTGAGGCAGCTTCAGCCCAGAATCTGTCCTCGAAATTTATATCTAACAATATACATCTGAGCTATTGTCCTATTTAGTCTTTCGGCAACGCCATTCTGTTTGAGTGTGTATGGTGTCGTCTTCTGATCAATAATGCTATATTTTGTAAGCTATGTGTCGATTGTTTCATTCACATACTCGCGCCCATTGTCCGTTCGGAAAACTTTCATATTTTTTGAGCACTTATTCTCTAACATTGTTTTGAATTTTACAAATCAATTGAAAGCTTCTGCTTTTGACTTATTTAGGACAGCGAATACTTTTCTGGAATAGTTATCGACAAACGTTTATAAATATCGTGCACCAGAAAAGGTTGCTTAGCACGCTAGCCTTTTTTATGAGAGATGCTCGAGTCCGCTTGCCTTTTATGCAAACCATACATTTGCCGTTTCCACTTGTTGAAATTCTGATACCCTCAGAAGCACTTCTCTACTACGTGTTATGTCGTTGAATGCAAACAGAGTGGTAAATTCCTTTCCAGATATTTTCTAGCTCTGTAGGAACCTCAATCGTGCATCGAACCAAAAGTGCATTGTAAGTGGGGGGTTTGGGGTTCTCTACAGCAAGAACTAATGCTTGAAACTTATTTGGCAACCCAGCTACCATAAGTGAAAGAAGGCAGTTATAACCATTAATTTTACATGCTCTTGCATAGTTTCGCAGCTGGAAATGTTCCAGTTGCTTTAACTGTTCTACCTTGTGCTTTGCTTTATCTGCAGAATGTCCGAAATTATTTGGCTCCAGCAACATCGTGATTTCTGCTAATGTTTTTTTATTAACATCACGATCAGCGTCTGTTGCAGTGACCAGTGCAGGCAATCAATTTTGGACCATTTATCAGTGGCCCTTTATGATCAACTACGATTTTGCCTGGCATTTCTAGACATTGAAATTCTCACGACCGCGAAGTCGTTCGAAGGGTTTCGAAAATATATTCGACAAAATTTAAATCGCGAAATATATTCCAAAGAAATATCAATTGATTTAAACTTTTAAACCCGAATCTATTTACCTATTGGTTAAATGCGTGACGAATAAATAAATGCGTGACAACGACCCATAACCTGTTAGAGTGGGCAGAAAAAAACGCGTGTATACTTGGTGAGAGTATCATTAGAAAGGAATGAAGTTTATGAATACTAAACTTAGCTTCTAATCGTAATAATATTTTTTAATAATAAGTACGAGAAATATATAGGGTAGAAGTTTGTAAAGCCGATGCAAGACAAACGTTAG